GGGCAAGGCACCAGAACCAGTAAGGCACCATACTCTGGCAGAATAAGTGATGTTCTGAGGAGGGAAAAGGAACAAAAGTAAACTTCCAGCTGGCGCATTCAAGGAAATTTTAGTCCTGAAGAACTTTGTCATGGCTTCTGAGTATTTGCCTTTGACACAATTGCAACAACTTGAATTCACAATGAATCATTTTACCCTGATGACTGAAATACATCGATCCAACGCATCATCCTCCGACACTTCCGCCATCTGCAATCCGACCCCACCACCAAAGACATCTTTCCCTCCCCACCTTTATCTGCTTTCCGGAGGGACAACTCTCTCCGTGACTCCCTTGTCCGCTCCACACTCCCCTCCAGCTCCACCACACCCGGCACTTTTCCCTGCAACCGCAGGAAGTGCTACACCTGCCCCCATACCTCCTCCCTCACCCCCATCCCAGGCCCCAAGAAGACTTTCCACATCAAGCAGATGTTCACCTGCACATCTGCCAATGTGGTATACTGCATCCGCTGTACCCGGTGTGGCTTCCTCTACATCGGGGAAACCAAGCGGAGACTCGGGGACCGCTTTGCAGAACACTTACGCTCGGTTCGCAACAAACAACTGCACCTCCCAGTCGCGAACCATTTCAACTCCCCCTCCCATTCCTCAGACGACATGTCCATCCTGGGCCTCCTGCAGTGCCACAACGATGCCACCCGAAGGTTGCAGGAACAGCAACTCATATTCCGCTTGGGAACCCTGCAGCCCAATGGTATCAATGTGGATTTCACAAGTTTCAAAATCTCCCCTCCCCCCACCGCATCCCAAAACCAGTCCAACTCGTCCCTGCCTCCCTAACCTGTTCTTCCTCCCACCTATCCCCTCCTCCCACCTCAAGCCGCACCTCCATCTCCTACCGACCAACCTCATCCCGCCCCCTTGACCTGTCCGTCCTCCCTGGACTGACCTATCCCCTTCCTAACTCCCTACCTACACTCACCTTTCCTGGCCCCATCCCCGCCTCTTCGACCTGTTTGTTTCCTCTCCACCTATCCTCTCCTCTATCCCTCTTCTATCCGCCTCCCACTCTCTCCCTATTTATTTCAAAACCCCCTTCCCCTCCCCCTTTTCTGATGAAGGGTCTAGGCCCGAAACGTCAGCCTCTCTGCTCCTATGATGCTGCTTGGCCTGCTGTGTTCATCCAGCCCTGCACCTTGTTGTCTCGAAATACATCGATTTGCTTTTGCGAGGGGCCATCCTAATTTAAATAAATTCCGCTGAATGAATTCATCAAAAAAAATCGAAAATTAAATTCAACAAATGTTTCAAAGTAAGCTGTTAAGATTATGTAGTTAGCCTCCAGCAAAACACAAGGGTTAAAATCGATACTTCAGTTTGACCTTGCACAGACCTCAGTCATAAGACGGAGGGCTTGGCAGGGCCTGTGGATCCCATGCTGGGAAAACACAGTGGAACTGCTGGAATTAAAATTATATGAGTTGGAATGCAGCATCAGCAGCTGGCCAAGCACTTTCTGAAAGGCACGGTTATTCCAAATAGAATAAAAATATACAGCCATCTTGGGAATTTTCTCCCTTTCTCTCTCCCCTTTAAACCTCTTTGCAATTAAACTAAACTCCGAGACACGACTGGAATTTCTTGAAATCAATGCTCAAAGCCAGTCCTGCTTTCTTCAATGTCTGAGATAGACTAAACTGGTACCCAGTAAACTTCGCCTCCTGAAGACTAACTGCATTAACTATCAATAAAAGTAGGATATTTTGAGTGGGAGCAAATAAAGTTGAGCATTTATTTTTTAAAAAGTTTGCATTTAAAACATATTGAAATATTTACCTATCTATCATGTGTTAAAATAGATGAGAGGAATTCTCTCTGATTTTATTATGCAAGTTCTGTGTTAAACAATTGTTTGCAGATGACTACTTTTCACACAAAACGTGTTAAATTTCTTTTAATACAACTTGATCAAACTAATGGGAACAACGACAGCCTTCAGCTGATTCTTTGTCCCTCCCAAAACCACAAGACCATGTGGCATTGAGCACTGAATGACTTTTGATTCAGTGTTTCAAAATGTTAAATACTCTTGTGACACTGCAAATCCTCAAATGGATTCA